GGTTGATTTGTTTTTGTTTTTGTTTTTTAAAGAATCAAAACAGTGATGGAAGGGTAAAGAATGCAAGAATTCAGACATTCTGTGGAGGGTTACTCTCTCTCCATTAAAGGTCCGTAAAAAGGAGCAAACTGAGATTCATGAGGGAAGTCAGCAGAAGCTTTGTGTGTTTCCCCACCTGCTGTGAATAGGTTTTTGCTGAGGGGCCATTGCTAGGTCCCCACTCGCTCCCCTCCCTTCGGCCTCCGACGGCAGGGCAGTAACAGGGGCACTGAAGGAACACGTCATGATTCCTCGTTCCCAGAATCGTCATCATCATAACAGTCGGCATCTTCCTCCTGTTCATCTTCATCATCAATGTCGTCATCATACAAGTCGTCACAAAGCAAATCTGAGCTGTTGTCATTGGAAGGTACTTTAGTTTTGATGCAGTATTCCGCCAGGGTCATGGGGAACTTCACTCCATCCTTTTCTGCTTCGGCCTTAGTGGCCGAAACCTGTTTCCTAATGATTTCAGCACATTCTTTGTCTTTTCCTTTACTGTCTCTCCATTTCCTGAACATAACTGAAGCATCCACATTGGCTGGGGAGAAGGCATTGGGCTCATTAAGCAGTGAGATTACACTTAACAGGATAGTCCTCACATTCTGAGTAGGATTCAGAGGCAGCTCTCCACTCTGTGGGGTCATCTACAGGCAGATGAAGAATCGAAATGCATACATCTCCATTCTCATAAATGTTGAGGTGCCACATTTTGGTCAAGAATCTGAAGGTAGGTGGTGAATAGGGGTAGTCAATAGGAAATTTAATATGCGCCTTGAAGTAGCTGCCTTCGTAGAGGGCGTTGGGGGTCCGAAGACGGCCACCTCCCAGTTGTAGAGGTCGGACTCGTCCACCAGGGTGATCCGGAAGTCCTCCACCGGCTCCTCCTGCAGGGAGTTCAGCTGGAGCATCAGGGCCTTCTGCGAGCTGGTCATCTGCTGCTGGGCCATCGCGGCGGCTGCGCCCCGGGCCATCGCGGCGGCTGCGCCCCGGGCCGGGGCCCCAGTCCTCACGCACTGGCCGGGCCGACAGGCCCCTCCCCTCCGCTCGCCTCCGGGCCGGGCCGCGCCAGGCCGCGCCGGTCGCGCCAGGCCACTGTCTTCCCGCTCCGGCGGGCCGGGCCAGGCCCCAGAGGGCCCGCGGGCCGCCCGGGGTCCTCAGGCACGCCGCGGGCCGGCCGGGCCCGTCTCACACTAGGGCGGGTGGAGGGAGTTCGGCGAATTCGCTCCGGGCTCCGGGCCCCGGGCCTCCCCCCGCCCCGGAGGGGACCTCAACTTGGGCTGGGGCGGGGGGAGGAGGTGGGAGCGGAGGAAGGCGGCGGAGGGCCGGCGATGGTGAAGGGACCGGCCCGGCCGGCCCGGGCGCGCCGCGCTCGCTCCCTCTCGCTCTCCGCGGGGCCGCGGGGGCCGGGGGGCGCGCGGGGCCGCAGCGGGTGGGGGCAGCGCGGCGCGCGGGGGTCTCGCAGCGACGGTCTCGCAGCGGCGATGGCGGCGGCTGCGCCGCAGTTCATTATTAATTTACATAAATAATTTGTGCAGTTGTTGATTTTTAAATTTTGTATTTAACAAATACTCACGTCTCTTTATGTCAACTTCTGTTTAAAACATATTTCATATTGCATATTTTAACTCATTTAATTATTCCTCCTAACCCCTCTGAGTTAGACACTGTTATTTTCATCTATGTGTTACAGTCAGGGTAAAGAGAAACTGTGTACAGGGTCACACAGATATATGATTACTGGTTGTATGAGTTCGTCAAGGCTGCCATGACAAAGTGCCACAGATTAGGTAGTTTAAACAACAGAAATGTATTGTCTCACAATTCTGGAGGCCAGAAGTCCGAGATCAAGGTGTCTGTGGTAGAGTTGATTCTTTCTGAGAGCTGTGAGGGAGATTCTGCTTCAGGCCTTTCTTCTGGCTTCTAGTGGTTGCTGGCCATCATTGGGATTCCTTGACTTGCAGGCTCATCACCTTGACTTCTGTCTTCATCTTCACATGGCATTTTCCCTTGTGCCTATGTGCCCACATTTCTCTTCTTTATTGGGACAGCAGTCATACTGCATTAGGACTCACCCGAATGACTCCATTTTAGCTTGATTAGCCTCTATAAGACCCTGTCTTTAAATAAGGTCACATTCTGAGATGCCGGAGGTTAGGATTTCAACATATGGACTTTGGTGAGTGGAGGCATATTCTACCCATAACACTATAGAGCCAGGATTTAAACTCAGGAATTTTGGCTTGGATCTGTGCTCTTAACCAACACGCTATGCTAGTGGTTTGATCCTTTTAATACATAAAGCTAAGCTAATTAGTTGTATACCTAAACCTGAGTTGTACCATACATATTTAAAGTAAAAATTAAAAAAAGATAATTAGGACAAGTACAATTTAGAGTATCTTATTGATTCATAACCAAGAATTATCTGCAGGATGGGTGCTGTTGTTAACAATGTCTTGTTGAACTCAGGTAGGGATCTAATAAATTTAGATTGGTTTATAGTTAGAAGGTCTATACACTCTCTTCAAGCTATGCACGCACTGTCTTTTAAAGCATAGAAACTCTTTTAGCTCCTTCTGTG